CATTGTGGGCCTTTATGGTTCTCACCAGCCCCTATAAACTTTTTTTTTTTTTTAAATCAAAAGCAAGACAGATTTTGTCACAAATCAATTAGGTTATTTTTTAGTGAAAGTTTCAGAACTCTAGGAGATAGATATGAGTAAGAAGAGGTTTTTTTCTGCCTTTTAAATTTTCTTCTCAGATAGCAGCAAGTTAGAAGCAATCTTACTGGCACTAGTGCTTGGCTCTCTGCTGATGAGATTTCTCTACTTGAGCTATTTCAAAGAGCAGAGCTGGAGTCCCACTCTATCTTAGAGGGCTGGATAAGAGGAGTGTGCCACAGCACACCTCCGCAGACACGCCTGGTCACTGCCTCCCCTCTGTGAGGTGATGCCTGTCCATTTTCTATACGTGGGAGGAGAAGTGATGAAATCCAAACAGGACTCTACTTGTTTGGGGGCAACAAAGGTGGGCTCTCCCCCTTTAATGGAGACATTTACAAAACAGCAAAAATACATAAATTCTCCCGTAAAGGCACGACTAACGATTGTGCAACACCTCAAGCTTCGGTTCTTTCTCTAGTAACTTACATAAGTTGTCTTTGGGAAGAAAATGTCCTTAGCTTTAGAAAGCAGGTATCATACTGTTACGGGGAAATGGCGGCAGAAAATTATTGTTACTATTACTACCTCGGTTCTTTGTCTCACATGGAGGAAGAATTTCCAAGCAGAAAAGCCGAGAGATTTAAAAAGATTTATTAGAGTCACAGAACTCCACTCAGAGCAGCATGAAGGGGGGCTTCCAAGAGAGGAAAAAACCCAAAGAAACTCATAGCACTGGGGTTTTTAAAGTACAATTTTGAAGGAAAAAAAAAAAAAACTTTACAATCAGTTACCAGTGGGGACAAAACCCATCAAAAGACTGATTTACAATTCTCCATCCTATCTGGCCTGCTCAGGCTAAAACAAACCATCAAGAAGGGTGGGATAGGTAACTTTTTTTAAAAAGAATTATTTTACTTATTTGAAAGAGTTACAGAGAGAGGTAGAGGCAGAGAGAGAGGTCTAGGGGCCGGCGCTGTGGGGCAGTGGGTTAATGCCCTGGCCTGAAGCGCCAGCATCCCATATGGCACCGGTTCTAGTCCCGATTGCTCTTCTTCCAGTCCAGCTTGCTGCTATGGCCTGGGAAAGCAGGGGAGGATGGCCCAAGTCCTTGGGCCCCTGCACCCATGTGGGAGACCCGGAAGAATCTCCTGGCTCTTGGCTTCGGATGGGCGCAACTCTGGCTGTTGCAGCCATCTGGGGAGTGAACCATTGGACGGAAGACCTCTCTCTCTCTCTCTCTCTCTCTCTCTCTCTGCCTCTCCTTTCTCTGTGTAGCTCTGACTTTCAAATAAAT